AGTAGCGCGGCTGCCTGCGCTACTAGAGGGCATTAAACCCGTGCTACTACTAGGGTTTTCTCTAGTAGTGCATGGTTATAATGTCCACAGAGATTCCTTTTGGCCGTATCTTGCAAGTGAATAGACACGTAACATAAAAGGAGACACCCTTGAATTTTGTAGTGTTAATGGGTGCCTGCAACCACGAGGAACGGATAGCCCCAATACAATTGTAGAGAAGTCTCCTTAAGATATTCTTGAAATAGAAAACAAGTATACGCTGGCCTATATAAGTCTTTTTTCTCAAGTAGATTATTCGTCTTGACCCCATCATAGAGCAAAGGCTAAAGGAAAATTTTGTGTCCCAACTGACTATCATATTACCATAGTACTTTCAAGAGGATATGAGCATCGCAAGTTACTCTCAAAATCTCATAGCCATGTAGGGTAGAATTAGTACCCCATTTATAGACCCACTTATCATGATTTGTCATTCTGGTTAGCCAGAGCTAGCAGGTTTTGCAAACTTTCAAACGGCTGGAATGCTTGAATTGGGAGTAGTGCATGCAAATGTTTAGCTAAATAATCAGAGTGTATTATGTTATGAAGACAATTTTTTTCGTTGTGGGAGAAAGAGTAAAGTTCAGGAAATTTCTCACAGAGAGCCGGTCATCCTAGATATATTTCCATGAGAGGATATAATTACCTTGTGAAATAGTGGGTTTAGCCATTGCCTTGCAATGCGGGAAAAGTTTGAGCTGAGATTTCCACCAAAAGGATCCTCCGATTTTTCCTGAGGGAAGGCCATTCGAATAGTGTCTCCCAAATAAGCTTTACCTAAGGCATTAGCTTGGTTGACGAACTTGTACTGTTCTTGATCAAAAGGGATTTATTATGCGTGGCCACACCGAGCACTCCAAGTCCACCGTGCCGTTTTTGTTTGGAGCTCCGCTTCGGTACCCCCTCCTAATGTATAAGGGCAGTATGGTCATTCGACAATAAACATATACCCACCTCTGTAAGATGTCCTTCTAGGATGTACGAGTTGTACGTACACGTAGAAGTTTTCCCACCCGATCCGCCGGCCTGTTCCAAACTGCAGCCTCCCCCGCCCGCCCACAACCCATGCACGTGTCGTCGACCGCCGCTACTTCCTATATTCGATGGCATCCACCGCCCCTTGTTGGACATGACCCCCACCGCCTAGGCGCCCCCTCCAGCATGCCCCCCTCACCGCCCGCTCGCAGACAAACTTTTCGCCTGACATCGACCCCCGCCACCTTAGAAATCAAAGGTTTGTCATTTGTATTCTTATCTGCACATTGAAATGGTGCAAAAATGATTCGCAACGATGTTGCTTCTCTAAATATTTCATTGTGCATCACACAATGTTACCGAGTTTGCATTTGAACTGGGAGATGATTTCTTTGTTGATGTTCTGCAGTACACGTAGTGATTGTGGACTCTACCTCAAGGTGTTTAAATGGAGCAAGAAACCGGATATCCCGACGATGAATTCGGAAGTGGTAATGGCTCCATTAGCGAGAATGGATATAATAACGAAGATGAATCATGGTCATCCTATGAAAACTTACCAGCTGATGACTTTCAAATTAATGAGGGTAGTGCAGGGAGTCAAAACATAAGTGGCATGTACGTTGATTTGTGTTTTTTATGGAAAACAACCGCGTGGCAACTTACATGTTTTTTTTAAATCTACACAAAGATTTCGATGTTCATAATGAGCACAATGATTTTCAGGAATCTTATGCCGATAAGCGAGCCAGGTACGTTGAATATTTTTTATGGCATGCAACCATATGACCTAAGTGATGGCAACTACCATGCGTTTATTTGTAATTTTGTAGGAGGAGGTCGATGGTCCTACTGGGCATGATAGCCATGATGATGATGGTGAATTAGACATGGACATTGGGCATGTTGAATATACCAACAATAGATCGCTGGATAGGCATTGGAAGATAATGCTTATGACTTTTGATTCACAAGTGGAGGCGTACACGTTCTACAACAACTACGCCAGTCCCATAGGATGCGATGACTGCCTGCGGTGCGGTGCGACCCGCTGGCCGGTTGCCCACTCGATCGGACACATGATGCGACACGACGCGAGGTGACACACGTATTGGTGGTTCGTGTGTAAGTATTGTAGGCACACACCCGCATACCATTGAAGACGGGCGTGTAACATTGAGAATGGGCGGACGACGACTTTTGACACGCCTTTCTTTTATGATGCAGTTTGGGCTAATCTCGTCCGCCTTGTGTTTTTGGGGTGTGTCCAATCAGAAATATTTGGTTTGCATACTTTAGTAAGAGGGTGCCATATCATTCATGCCATATCATTCATGCCATATAAGCCGAATTCGAAGTGTGGAGCGACCATTTCATCTTATTTTAATCTCCAATTCACTGGGATGAAACCCTCTATCTTTTGCTTGATGATGAGGGGTTGCCCGAGATAAGTGAAGGAGAAAGTGCCAAGATGATACATTAACATTTGAGAAAAAACTGCATTTTCTTTCACGCACATTGACAGACTTGGAATAGTTGACTCTTAGAGCATCTCCAATAGGTGCGCTATCTTAGCCGCGTGCTGAAAAAACCAGTTCATTGTGCGCGCGGGGCCGAAACGGGCCCTCCAGCAGCCACACAAAAATCACGCGCGCGGTAAACTTGGTTTAGTGCGTGGAGAAAATCCACATCACGCACGGTGTATTTGCTGCGCCCGCTCCCGCATGCTGGACATTGCAATTGGGTGTGCGACTCTCACCAACCGCCAGATCTGAATCTTCAGGCGCCGCCGCCTCCATCAGCACCTTCCCCATTCGTTCCGGTGACCCGTCGACGCTTGCCCCGCCTATCCCTGCGCTTCGCCGCTGCTTCCTCCCCCTTCTCTCCTCGCCTCTGCCCCTCGAGCGCACCATTCCTCCGACAAACAACGCCCGCCGGCCGTTTGCAGCTCGGCGCCCACAAGGTGTTTGGCAAAACGGTTGCAAGGTATCTATTACTTTAACTTTGTATTTTATAGATGAATTTTGTGCGTGTTGTTTGTAGTTTTAAACTAGTTTAAATTCAATATTGTAGATGAGTTCATCCTACGATTCTTCCCATGAAGAATTTGATATTCAAGAGGAGGAGGACCTCGCAATGATTCTAGCTATGCACGGCAATAAAAAGCCGAAGCACTGTGGTTCAGTTATCGGTCGTCAAAAATTATGGAGGGATAGGATCGATGCCCACAACAGATTGATGAGGAACTATTTTGCAGAGAATTCCACATACCCCAAGTCCTACTTTCGGCGCCATTTTAGGATGAGCAACAAGTTATTCAAACGCATTACGGAGAGACTAGCGAGACATGATCGGTTTTTCAGCAAAGGAGGAATGCCGCCGGAGAACTCGGGCCTAGCACCTTTCAAAAGGTGACGCCGCTTTGCATATGTTACCATACGTATTCCGGCGGATCTTGTTGATGACCACTTGGCCATGGGTGAGATTCAAGCCATCATGTGTCAAGCGCTTCGTAGTAAGAATTGTGTAAGTGTGTTTGGTCCGGAATATTCGAGAGCTCCCAATGCTGAAGACACTGCAAGGCTTTTGGAGATGAACAAAGCTTGCAGATTTCCAGGTATGCTTGGCTCAATAGATTGCATGCATTAGAATTGGAAGAACTGTCATAAGGCATGGCATGGACAATTCCACGGCCAGAAAAAGGGCTCCACTATAATCATTGAAGCAGTGGCCGATCAGGAGACTTAGATTTGGCATGCTTTTTTCGGAATGCTTGGATCTTTGAATGACATCAACGTTCTTAATCGGTCACCATTCATGAATAAGGTTGAAAATGGTGAAACTACACAGGTGGAGTTTGTAGCAAATGGTCATACATACAACTATGACTACTATATTGCGGATGGCGTCTACCCAAGGTGGCAAACATTTGTGAAGCCGTTGACGGCACCGCAAGGTAAGGAAAAATCATAATTTCCACAATGCTCAGGCAGCGGTTAGAGAAGATATGGAGAGAGCTTTTGGGATTTTGCAAGACCAATTTTGCTATTGTTATAGAACCAGCTGGATTTTGGGATCAGAAGATCCTTTGGTACATCATGAATGGTTATGTGATCCTGCATAAAATGATCATCAGGAATGAGTGTGAGCAAGATTTAGACTATTCTCAGTATGAGTTGTTGGGACGTCCCATGCGAGTGCAGAGGAGGGCTGAGAGGGTGGCCCGATTTATTGTGTCCTAGCATGCCATTCGACGTGCCGAAACGCATGATGATCTTCAAAAGGATCTAATTGAGGAGTGGTGGGCATGGAATGGGCGCCAAAACTAGTTTCTTGTGGCGATAAAACTAGTTTCTTGTGGTATGTTTGCTTGTGTTGGGTGCGCGTTATAATTTTAGCGCGTCTGCTAGAGCGGTACCTGCGGCGTGAAATATAGTGCTTCTACTAATGCAACCCCCCACCCCCACCCCCACCCACACACACACACCCGTCCCGCGCCAAAATACTATTTCGGCGCTGTAAAAGATTTTTAGCGGCGCCGCGCGACCGCGCGTCTGTTGGAAATGTTCTTAGTTAAACTAGTTTGAGCAGCAAAGTGTAGAGGAGGATTCTTCGTATATAGTTTGTTGTACCTGGCAGCACAAGGATTCTTTTGGTGCCGTGAGTAAATTAGATGCTTATCCTATACTCGTCAATACAAAAGGCGATGGATGCAGGGTAATCTTGTCGAATCTCATTTCAGAACTTTTATATGGCATGCATGCTTGCTGGCCACAATAGATTATTGTAAGTTTGTAACCAAAGAACAATGTTCACCACCCCCAACCAACAACTCCCGCGGTACAGTACGTGTTGCTTCCGCGTTGGAATGCAATTTATTTGCACAAGTCTCACGAGTGTGTGTGACGGTTGCACATATATGTGTAGCTGTCTGAATCGTACGGGCCGAGAGGGAGAGCATCCACCAGACCATCACAGTATCATTCATGCGTCCGTGTTCGTACATGCAGCTTACCTGGGTGGTTTCATCCATCGCCGGAGTGCTGCTGGTGGCTGCCGCGAGTGCGGCACCGCCGATGATAGGGAAGCAGGGCTGCAGGACTACCTGCGGCAACGTGAGCGTGCCGTACCCGTTCAGCATCGGCCACGGCTGCTACTCGCCGGGGTTCAACCTCACCTGCGTCGACGGCGCAAGCCCACCGCGGCTGCTACTCGGCATTGACGGCACTCTGCAAGTCATCAACATATCCATCTCGAGCGCCACGGTCACGGTCATCCACACCGGCACCGTGACGATCGGCGCTGCCAGCGACGGGCATGGCGCATTCCTTAGCGGCAGCCTCGACGCCGACGGACCTTACGCTCTGGCAGTGGGCCGTAACGAGCTAGTAGTGACTGGCTGCAACGTGGAGGCGACTCTACGGGATAAAACCAGCAATCTCAGCATTGGCAGCTGCTCCTCCTTCTGCCCCGGCGCCAGCTGGTTCACCGGCTTGCCACCTGCCGGCGGCGGTCCTGGGAAGTACTGCTCCGGATTGTACTGCTGCCAGGACCCCCTTACCACTGACATCCGTAAGACGACGGTGGACAATATCCTAGGCCGCGTCTCCTATGACGTGCAGATGACATGGTTCGGCAGGAACCATACGAAGGATAAAGTGATGCCCGGGCTCGTGTTCGTCGCCAAGGAGGGGTGGTTCGACGATAACTACTCCTTGCATAACTGGCTGGAAAGTACAGACGGCAGCCGACCTCCGCCGTCGGCATTTTCTTCCGTGGAAGTCCCACTTGTCCTGGGGTGGGAGGTCCTCCGGCGTGATGGTACCGCCGGTGGGAAGTGGTCCAGCGAGTGCACGGTAGACGCAGCCAGGAGTATCTGCAAGAGCAAACACAGCGAATGCTCTCCAGGCCCCAAAGGCTACCTCTGCGCCTGCGAGGACGGTTACGACGGCACTCCTTATGTCACCGACGGATGCCAAGGTTAGCCTTCATATACACCCAATATTTCTTTGCTTTTTATACTGCACCATCACTACTGCAACTACTGTACATGGATCTTCTAGCCTAACTACTACTCCTGGGAAATGATTGTTATTTCAATATCGACAAAGTTGCAAATAATTTCATAGACGCCAAAAAATATATATGTTGGATTAAAGGGTCTACTGACTGATCACTACCATGGAATTGTTGAGTTGGAAATATTTAACTTAGAAACAAGACTTCCTCAATTGATGTATAAACTTTGGTTTATGACAAACATATGAATTTAATAGCAAGTGCATGCTTAATTTGGTTGGCTATACATATGAATGTAGATGTGGACGAGTGCAAATTCCAAGGAGAGGAAACTGTGTGCTATGGCGATTGCAACAATACCTACGGATCCTTCAACTGTAGTTGTCCCCGAGGAAGCCATGGGGACCCAAGGAGACCCGGTGGCTGTGTCAGAACCATCAATATAGGTGAGCAGTAGTGCTAACATCCTCATTCCTTCTAGATTTGGCATCATATGTATACATGCTTCAAAAGATAATAATTGAGGACTACGTACTATTTTTCAGGTTTAATCATTGGTCTATCCCTAGTTGTTGGCCCAGGCCTTCTACTTTTGGTTTTGAGCATAATCATAATAAGACGTCATCTTAGGCACCTCAAGAAGAAAATGTTGAAAAGGAAGTTCTTCATCCAAAACCATGGACAACTGTTGGAACAGCCGGTATCTCATAGAACTGGCATTGCTGAGAAGATGATCATTCCACTGGAAGAGCTAGAGAAAGCAACAAACAATTTTGATCAGACTCGTAAGCTCGGAGATGGTGGCCATGGTGTTGTCTACAAAGGAATGTTATCAGATTTACATGTCGTGGCCATCAAGAAGTCCAAGATTATGGTCCAGAGAGAAATTGATGAGTTCATAAATGAGGTTGCAATCCTTTCACAGATCAACCATAAGAATATTGTCAAGCTTTATGGATGTTGTCTAGAGACATAAGTCCCTTTGCTCGCATACGAGTTCATTTATAATGGAACACTTAGTGACCACCTTCATCGAGAATCACCAAGATCCATACCATGGGAAGCCAGACTGAAGATCACAAGTGAAGTAGGCAAAGCTATCTCTTACCTGCATTCTGCTGTTTCATTTCCAATAATACATAGGGATATCAAATCTTCCAACATACTGCTAGATGATGCCTTCACATCAAAGGTCTCGGACTTTGGAACTTCAAGGTACATACCAATTGATCAGACAGAGGCAACAGCAACAGCAGTGCAGGGGACTCGAGGATATTTAGATCCTATGTACTATTACACAGGACGGCTATCAGAAAAGAGTGATGTCTATAGCTTTGGAGTGCTTCTCATTGAACTGCTCACTAGAAAGAGGCCAAACATGTCTCTATCTGCCGAAGGTGAAGGGCTGGTTCTTAAATTTGGTGAAATGCATGCTGAAGGCAATCTAAGTGAAATAGTAGATCCACAAGTGATGGAGGAAGGAGGTAGTGAGGTGCAAGAAGTGTCTGATCTAGCCGCGTCATGCATCAAAATGAGAGGAGAAGAGAGACCAACCATGAGGCAAGTGGAGATGGTACTCGAAGGCCTCCTAGCAACCAATAATGAGAGTGCCGCATACGACCTGCGAGAGCAACACTACCAGAAAAACTGGGGTTGCCGACGGCCAAATCTATGCCGGCGGCCCCCGTCGGCATCTATGGACCTATGCCGACGGCCAAGGATAGGCCGTAGGCGTAGAATAGCCATCGGCATACATCCATCTATGCCGACGGGGCCGTCGGCATAGACGAGGCCGTCGGGACCGCCCGAGATACGCCTACGGGGCCCGTCGGCATAGGACAGGCCATCGGCATAGCCCGGGCCCACCTGCCCGGTCAGCGCTGACCATTTGACGGCGTTGTTCCTACGCCGACGGGCGGTAACGGTGGCCGTCGGCATATCTGTGGCAGAGGTATGCCTACGGCATAGCCGTCGGCATAGGCCCCTCTGCCACGTCAACGATCCGTGTGCCACGCCACGTCATCATCCGTGTGTGCACAGATATGCCGACGGCCTTGCCGTCGGCATATGTTTACTTTACATAATTTTTTATTTTTACTTTGCTTATCTGTGGCAGAGGTATGCCTACGGCACAGCCGTCGGCATAGGCCCCTTCGCCACGTCATCGATCCGTGTGCCACGCCACGTCATCGATCCGTGGGACAACCTCCGTGTGTGCACAGATATGCCGATGGTATTTTACTTTATTTTACTTTATTTTTTTATTTTTACTTTGTTTTGTTATTTTTACTTTATTTTAGTTTTTGCTTTTGCATAAGATAATTATGCCTTATCTAAAAAAACATACCCGATGGTATATCGATTGCCCCCCGTTACGAACGTCGCTATCGCCGTGTCACGGAGGGGGGAAACGGTCGACACGGAAGGAATTCTGGTTGGTGGGGGGATCCGGGGTGTAGCTATGTCACCGAAACATCGCACGGGTCCCGATGCATATGTGAAAGTGTTCATGCATGCGTAGACGCCCGTCTTGGGGCTCCGGGGTGTGCCCCCCTCACGGACGGCGCTGCCGCCGGCACCTGGAGGGGGGAAACGGACACGTGGGGTCTACACGGAGGGGATCTTGCTGTGGGTCTGGCCCGGATGTTGCTCCAAAGTGTTCCTATGGGCTGACCTAACACAACCGGGTGGGGAGGGCCATTGGTCAAAGCCCATCCGTGCAAAGTCAAAGGGCTAGATCCCGTGGTCAAACGCTACAGGGTTAGGCGAGACGGGGGCACTGGGGGTAGCAATGCCACCGGAGCATCGCACCGGGCCGTCATACATGCGGGGTGGTGTGGTGGCATGTCCGAAGAGGTGGGACGCGTCTCCGGTGCGTGGCCTCCCCTCACGGACGGCGATGACACGGTAGTAGACGTTCTGCGATAACGATGCGGCGTCAATATTACTAAATACTCGGAGCGCGATAAAATCAAGAGTTTTTTTGCACGAGGTGGGCACATGTGCTATAGGAACGATGGTTTTTTTTCATAATTTTTGGTGATGGAGAAGTATCCGAAAAATTCCCTCTACGCGGATTGCCCTTCGCGCGTCTACGGCTGTGGCCGGCAGCCTCCGGGGGCTAGCATGCCGCCAAATCTTGCGTAGGCGGCCTCTCACAAGTCTGGAAGTGTTGTGGCGGTTGCAAACGCCCGGCACGCGTGTCCGGGGTGTGCCCCCCCTCACGGACGGCGCTGCCGCCGGCACCTGGAGGGGGGAAACGGACGCGTGGGGTCTACACGGAGGGGATCTTGCTGTGGGTCTGGCCCGGATGTTGCTCCAAAGTGTTCCTATGGGCTGACCTAACACAACCGGGTGGGGAGGTCCACTGGTCAAAGCCCGTCCGTGCAAAGTCAAAGGGCTAGATCCCGTGGTCAAACGCTACAGGGTTAGGCGGGATGGGGGCAATGGGGGGTTGCAATGCCACCGGAGCGTCGCACCGGGCCCTCATACATGCAGGGTGGTGTGGTGGCATGTCCGAAGAGGCGGGACGCATCTCCGGTGCGTGGCCCCCCCTCACGGATGGTGATGACACGGTAGTAGATGTTCTGCGATAACGATGCGGCGTCAATATTACTAAATACTCGGAGCGCGATAAAATCAAGAGTTTTTTTGCACGATGTGGGCACATGTGCTATAGGAACGATGGTATTTTTTTATAATTTTTGGTGATGGAGAAGTATCCGAAAAATTCCCTCTACGCGGATTGCCCTTCGCGCGTCTACGGCTGTGGCCGGCAGCCTCCGGGGGCTAGCATGCCGCCAAATCTTGCGTAGGTGGCATCTCACAAGTCTGGAAGTGTTGTGGCGGTTGCAAACGCCCGGCACGCGTGCCCGGGGTGTGCCCCCCCTCACGGACCATGAGACCCATGCCAAGGCCGTGATCACTACTTTCTGGGTGAGTTCTCTTCAGAAGAACAAGTCCATTCTAGTTTCATGAAAATGATTTAACTCATGGCTTCTTCCATTCTTGTTTCATGCATGATTGTAGAAATTCTATCGAGTTCTTCTGGAGCACAGGGCTAGAGCGGACCAGATCGTGCTGCGCCAATGCAAGAAGAAGGCCCGCCAGATGCAGTACGAGGTGCGCTATGTGGCCATCTCCACATACTACCACGACTATCTTGGTGTGAAGATGACCAAGGAAGAAGCGCGGAGGATGGGCATTACCTTGGAGAGGCCCGAGTTCTTGGCGGTAAGTATAAACGATTTTTCATTATGCTTTCATATATTATGCTTTCATTATGCTTTCATTACCTTGTGGTACATTATGCTTTATGCTTTATGCTTCCATAACACCAATTTGGACACACCTACATGCCATTATGCTTTTATTATCTAGGTGTGTCCAAATTGGTGTTATTGAAAAGACGAGTCCTGGGCGGCATTGGTGGATCTTTGCTGTGATGAGGCTGGAGCCTGGGCGGCTATGAGAACCAAAAATAAGGCTAACCGAGGGACGGAGGGAGTACATGCTCAGGGAAACCGAAACCACTATCTCCACAAGGCAGTTAATGTATGACTAACCCCATTAAACATTCTTCTTTTTCTATTTACCATCACTTTCTTATGTATGACTAACCTCTGTTTGGTGGTGCAGGAGGAGAAACTGAAGCGGCCGCTCTCAGACATGAAGGCGTGGGAGATCGCCCATACGCGGAAGGACTCCAAGCCTGGCGAGCCCCAATACTACGGCAAGAAGACCGCGGGGAGGAAGCAGGCCTACTCCGAAGCGTATCTGAAGTTGCATCCTGACACACCTGACCCCATTGCGGCGCCTCTGGACGACAGGGCGGTGGTGAGCATGGGGCCCAAGGAGCACGGTCGGGAGGCAGTTCTCGATGCTGTGATCACTCCTAGTATCTCCTACACACAGCTTCATCGGATCGACCCGAGCCTGAGCCAGCGCACGAGCCAGCCAGTGACCAGTGCACAGTCCCTCTTTCAGGAGCAACAATCTGTAAGTATTTTCCCTCTTATCTTCATTGCTCACTTTATTTTCCGCATTTAGTAGTTTTATGAGTTCCATCATGTCATACCGTAGGCCTACCTGGGGTACACATGCCAGGAGACCATGGCGTGGCATCAGAGGCTTTATGAACACCAAGTGCAGAGGGATAGCCAGATGCAGCAGGCTTTTTAGGATACGTCGGCCGGCAGGTGTCCTCAGTTCCCTCCAGCACAATGCCCTCCAGCACAACCAGTGCTGATGAGCTTTGAGGAGTTTGTGGCACAGAACGCTGGCCCCTCGCCGGTTAGTTCATCCCCAATCTATTCACCCAAAGCATGTCATGCCTTTCAACACAGTCATATATCCCGTGCATATGTCTTTTCAACATCCAGGGAACAGGTGGATCTACCATTGGCGGTGGTCTTTGCAGCACTCCGGAGACAAGGAGCCCGACCACTCCGATCCACGGAGGCGGAGGCAGAGGTGGAGGCGGAGGCGGCCTTGGCGGTAGCGCTGCCGCTAGCAGTGACGACCTGGGCTTCGGCGGTCTTGGCGGTGACGACCTCCGCGGTGCTCGATGATCCTTGTGTGTGGTGATGATGCTTGAGATGACTTGTGTGTGGTGATGATCATTTAGATGACTTGTGTGCTTCTCTATATGCTTATGCTTATGTTGGTTGTGATGATGATCATTTAGAGATTTGTATGTGATGATGCTTATGCATATATTGTTGTGATGGTGCCGGATGATATCCCGTTGTGTTTTATATGTCTATCCCATCATATACGTCTGCTGATATGTGTTGTTATTTGAATTGAATTGATTCGAAAACAAACAGAAAAAAGCAAAAGCAAACTATGCCGACGGCTAGGCCGTCGGCATAGGGCTAGCGTGAGCTCCCAGTAGCTGACACGTGGCACCTATGCCGACGGCCTAGCCATCGGCTTAGTTTAAAAACGGTGCCGACGGCTAGACCGTTGGCATAG